GACATAACAGTACGTTCCCTTTGAAGTGACAAAGCTGACTCTCTTCTGGTCTTCTTCAGCTAATGCAATTTGATGATAGCCTTGCGAAGCGTCCATCATGCTGAGGAGCTCACACCCCGCCGTCGAGTCCACGAGCTGGTCGATTCTAGGTAGTGGGTAATGATCCTTTGGGCAAGCTTTGTTTAGATCTCGGAAATCTATGCACATCCTCCACTTACCCAGCTCTTTCTTCACCATCACTGCGTTCGACAACCACTCCGGGAACTGGATTGGTATGACATGTCCCGCTTGTAGCAACTTATTCACCTCTTGCTCGATAATGAGGTCGAGCTCATGGCCAAAGTGTCGACGCTTCTGCTTCACGGGTCTCACTTTCTTGTCAATGTTCAGGTGATGGACCGCTAGACTTGGGTTAATGCCCGTGAGCTCCTCTGGGGTGAAGGCGAAGACGTCCACAAAGTCCCTTAAGACCTGCACCACCTTCTCCCGCATTTTTTGTGACAGGTCTTTTCCAATACGAACCGTTTTATCTTCCGCCCCTTCTATTAGCTCGATTTCCATCAACTCGTCTTGTGTGGTGACCTCTACCCTAGGTCGCTTCTCGGGTCGAGCCTCCCCCTTTCCGACAGGCCGATCCTCGTCCTCATCCTTCTTCCCATTAGACCGCCCGCCTTTGATAGTGACTTGGTAGCATTTTCTTGCGGTTTTTTGGTTACCCATGACCTCTCCTACTCTGTCTCCGACCGGAAATTTCATCTTCATGCAATATGTCGAAATGGCAGCTTGGAAAGAGTTGAGGCTCGGTCGTCCCAATATCACGTTATATGCTGATCCCGTCTCTACCACCAGGAATCGGATCATTTTCACTTGTATAAGAGGTGGTTCCCCCAGTGCCACAGGTAACGTTACTTCTCCTCGTGGGACGACCTCCGTCCCGCTAAATCCATACAAGGCTGTGCGTACTGGCTGCAATGATAAATCCAACTTCATCTTATCTAGGCAATGCGTGAAAATTATGTCCACTGAGCTTCCGGTGTCCACGAAGACCCTTTCTACATCGTAGTTCGCTATTTCGGCAGTGATCACCAACGCGTCATTGTGTGGTCTGGCAACATCTCTCAGATCTGAAGGCCCAAAGTGGATAAGGGGTACCTCCTCTGCGATTTGCACCTCTTCTCCATGTTTGTCTTCGTCGAGGGACCTCGCATGTCGCTTCCTCGCTTGGTTTGAGTCCCCATCCGTGGGACCGCCCGATATCATGTGAATCACCCCTTTTTTCTTTGGATTGGTCTCGTTACCCTCATCCCGTCCTCGCTTCTCAGCTTCTTTTTTATCTTTCCCTTGTTCCCTATCCTTCAAGACAAACTCCTTTAAATGACCTGCACGTATCAGCCTTTCTATCTCATCTCTCAACTCCTTGCACGTGTCCGTGCTATGCCCATGATCTCTATGATAC